TTGCTTACAGTTTTATACCTAAACTGATAGATAGTTTCTTCCGTTTTATGTAAGTAGCCGGTAGCTGCAGCCCATCTCTAATCGCTCGCCAAGTCCGAAGAGTGTTTTGCAATCAGTTTTGTCAGATAAACAATATTGTAACATCGAGATTAAAATCTGCGTATTGAAATTTTTATTTTATGAACCTTACATTCTCTCTCGTGTACTTTTTCTCAATAAGATAAAAAATGGTGACTTAATTTAATTTTTCAATTCTTACTCTTAGTTCAAACTCTCCCTATATTTTGTTCAAATTTTCAATCGTTAAAAAAATATTTTTTATTCACCCACTCTAAGTTCCAATTGATTTTCGTTACATTTGTAGTGGATGACACTTAATGTTTTTTTCCTATATTAATTCATTAATTAAATAGACATGAGCGAAAAAAGAAATGGAATTTTCTGTTTGGTTGAGCGTTAGTCATTGTTTTTAAATTTTACAGTAGGTGATTCATTTTTTTCCATATTTTAAAAATAACACCAGTGAAAATTTCCAACTAATAGCGCTACTTGAATAATAAAAAAAATAGTTTATTGCGCACATTTACATCTATATTATATAAAACGCTAATACGTACNATTTCACTATAAGCGATTCAGTTTTTCACAAATTTTAAAAATAGCATCAGTGATCATTTCTAACTTAAAGCTCTATTTGAAAAAAAAAAAATAGTTTATTGCGCACATTTACATATTTAATTATTTTACTTTCTCTGTGTCAGATAAATTCAATAAAGGACATTACGTGGTAGCACGTGTGGTCCACGTCATCAAATTTATACTTTTATAGTTGTCTGATACCAAGCGCCTTTTTTCTTTCTATTCTTAATATTAATTCACACTCTATATATATCTTGTTCAAATTTTCAATCGTTAATAGCATACTTTTTATTCATCCACACAAGTTCAAATACAGCTGAGAACTGATTATCCGAACCCTTATTATCTGAACGTCCAATTATCCGAACTATGTCCGAATTCTTTTTTTTTTTTTCAAAGTTTAGAATGCTTTTTAACTTATCGACAATTTTCCTAAATTTAGAAGAATTAATAATATCCACTGCTTTTGATGACCATTTTAATTTACACGCCATACATGCGTGTATTGTTATACAGTTAAACCTACATACCCCTTCAGCCCTCTTCGACTGAAAATTATCTTCCAAGAATGCGAACTTCATTTTGACAGTCTAGAACGTCAAAATGATGTTGATCCAGTTCAGTTGATTTATTTAAAAAGAATAAGGGATATGGCTGGTCTAAAAAGAGCATCTCCTATGAAACAAAAGCCTTTGCTGGATTTCTTTTGCAATGGAAAATAAAGAGAAATGTGGCAAAATCAGTAATTGACAAAAAAATTATAAAAAGCTGAAGTATGATAAAAAAATTCAAAATGAAAAAAAAAAGTTAAGAAAAATAAATCAATAAGAAATATTAAAAAAAAAATATTTTTAAACACGCCNGAAAATTATCTTCCAAGAATGCGAACTTCATTTTGACAGTCTATCTAGAACGTCAAAATGATGTTGATCCAGTTCAGTTGATTTATTTAAAAAGAATAAGGGATATGGCTGCTCTAAAAAGAGCATCTCCTTTGAAACAAAAGCCTTTGCTGGATTTTTTTTGCAATGGAAAATAAAGAGAAATGTGGCAAATTCAGTAATAGACAAAAAAGTTATAAAAAGCTGAAGTATGATAAAAAAAATTCAAAATGAAAAAAAAAAGTTAAGAAAAATAAATCAATAAGAAATATTTAAAAAAAAAAACTTTTGAACAAGCCAGAGCTATTTTAGATAGTACTGCCAGTCCTAAGCCTGGAAAAAGCGAGAAGGAAAGTTAGTGCATAAATAATAATCATTTAAACTAGATTTTAAACAACTTTCCAATTATCCGAACTTATTATTATCCGAACCACGATCGGTCCCGAGCAGTTTGGATAATCGGCGCTCTTACATTTTTTCGAACTAGTAGTGGATGAGAAATCATTTCCCATTTAGATATTAGCTCTCGCTATAAGCACCCCCTTCAATTATTTTAATTCCGATGGAGGAGTTAAAATACCTAAGTACCGGAGTACCTCACCCCAGAGGTAAGGTACTCCAGAAATATTGTATCAGTCAGTCAGATAGCAAAACTAGTATTTTCATAGTGATGGTTCAAAGTGATAGCAAACCTTGTATTTTCATAGTGATGGTTCAAAGTGATAGCAAAACTTGTATTTTCATAGTGATGGTTCAAAGTGATAGCATACCTTGTATTTTCATAGTGATGGTTTAAAGTGATAGCAAACCTTGTATTTTCATAGTCATGGTTCAAAGTGATAGCAAATCTTGTATTTTCATAGTGATGGTTCAAAGTGATAGCAAACCTTGCATTTTCATAGTGATGGTTCAAAGTGATAGCAAACCTTGTATTTTCATAGTGATGGTTCAAAGTGATAGCAAAATTTTTATTTTCATATATATGATTAATTATAAATTCAGTTTAATTTAAATGAGCACTACAAACGAATAAATTAAATATATTTAAGAATACATGCTGATACATATTTAAGAACATATTTACATATTCAAGGATACAAGTTGAATGGTGTGTTTAAGCTTTAGTTAAGTATAAAAATAATTTTGCTAACACTCGATTTTTCTTAATATTTAATGACCACTTGAGAAGATCATTTTCTTAACCAGCGATACCCAATTTGTTTCGATTAAAAAAAGACCTAAATGATCAACATTCTTTGAATTCCTCGCATTTGTAACTAAGGTATATAAAGAGATATATGAGCGTATTAACCCATAAAAGACTGTTTAATGTTGAAAATATTTAATAAGAAGAATAAGACATTTTTCCATCGTTTCATCATTAATAATCTTAAATCAGGTGCTTTGTCCGACAGTTAGAGATTTCATATTCATAGTCCAAAACCTGAATTTTGTTTTGTTAAGAATCTGTTTTTGGTGTATAAACGTTAAGTTGAAAATGAATGAAAAAGTTGTATTATGGTTTTCGTGGAATCAAAAAACTAAAAAGAAGTGCGATAAACGTTGAAAATGGTTATTTGGGAAACATACTTCTTTATTAACAATCTACTTATTTTATTTTGGTTCGAAAAGGGCGACGGGAAGTACTTATGCAATATTTAATAATTGCATATCCCTTTTATAATTTATTTAATACATTATTTGAAAAAATTTGTATTTTTTTTCTAAATTTATTTTTTTTGGCATTTTATTTTAAATACTTTATATAATATCTTTAAGGCAACTAAAATATTAAGTAAATAATGGATTATTGATTAGATCTAAATATATTTAAAGGTTTCAAAAATGCTTTTTAAGAAAACAGTTTATGAGAACTTTTAATTTTCTGAAGCCGTATAACTCTTCCACGGAACTCTAGGGTTCCGCGGAACACTATTTGGGAACCGCTGCTCTAAATGAGAAAAAGCTGGCAGGCGTGTAATAGTTTAAAAGTAGATTGATGCACACCATAGACGTGGACATGATGAAAATGATGTTTTTATTTTAAAGATTAATCATATTTTTAAGAGTATTAAAATTAGGAATGTAAACAAACTGGTCAAAAGACTTGTCACTTCAATTAATATTTTTCGACCCTAAGTGGACTGATTGATAAAACATGGTCCTCAGTAGAACACCGAAGTCAAGCGTCATTGGTGACCACCTTGATCAGACTACAAAGGGACCGAGGATGTGCAGTATCGGTCCTCGTAAAACTGTTCTTCCGTGAAGTACTCGACTTCGCTCGCAGGTCGTTGGACTACCGAAACAGGGAGTCATCCCCTCTGCACAGGATTAAAATTGTGATGGCATATCTAATCCCAGGGACGTAGCCGGTAGCCCATTACGTAGCTCTAGTGCGACGTGAAGGAATGACAACAACAATTAATATTTGATGCTTCGTAGACTTTCATGCTCAAGGAAGTTTTTCTTAGAATTTTTCAGCGAGATATATTTGTTTTTAAGTTTTTATTAAATTGAACTCTATCGTAATTAGCAGGGTTGTCAATAGCCTTTATTTATTGTCCCCCCCTCTGATATTTAAGGTTTTGTGCTACTTTCAGTTAAATATGAATATATATTCTTATTACGCTCCTATTTGATATTTTAAGTTTTTTTTCCGAAGACACAGGTATTTTTGTAGATCTGTTTTCCTTTGAATTCCCTAATAGCATTCGTTGCTGACATCATTAAACAAATCAACCAGTTTTACGGTCAAACACGCTTACATTTGACTAAGACTGGTTTACTTTGACTTAAATACTTCGAAAAATATTAGTGAATTATTTAAATCACAATTAACGTAAAATGAGGAATAAAAAAAACAAAGATAGGGAAAAAGTAATTTGGTCAACGCATTTAGTTTATTCAGTGGGAAAAAAAATACAAACGTTACCACTTAAAAAATAAATGAGATAAAAAATTTTCGCAATTTTAATAAGACAGATATGATTTAACTCTTGCAAAAAATTAACACAGGCAAGCATTTATTTACTTCCAGGTTTTTATACTGACGTAATAAAGGTTCCAATTACGATTTTTCTAGTCAATAAGTATTAAATTGTTAAGTGTTACGTACAATTTTTAGCTTAAATACGCCTTTACGTATTCCGTATTGATAGTTTAAGAATCTCAAACACTGTATTAGCAATTTAAAAAGTTCACTTCTAAGGATTCTTGAAACTCGAAACGACAAAATAAAGCCGGAAAAATTCAAAAGCGATCACCCAAACTATTGTTGGTATGACGTACGTGATGTAATCGAAATCTGCATGCCCGAACATGTCCAGAAAGACCAAATTTACCTGAAGAAAAGATGGAAGCAGACGGGAGGGAGAAATGCGTGGGCGTCAGATGGGGCGGTGGTAGGAAAAGATCCGTTTTATCCCTATGGTGGGGAAAAAGTGCGTCCGGGAAAATGGAAAGGATGCCAGTGGTCGGAGCGCACAAAGTGCGTGGGTGTTGGGCAGGGCTGATGAGGGGTGAAGAAGGGAGAAACTCTTCTCTCCCCCTTATTTAACTCGACTCTCGACTCGCTCCGGGACCAGTTGCTCCGCCTGATGCTCACTCCTCTTCTTTCGCTGCTCCTCCTTTGATCTCCCGGAATTTCTTCTCTCTTACCTTTCTCTCTCAAACACACACAGGTGAGTACTTCACTCTCTCTTCTTGTTTACAAACAATCTCATCATTATATATATATATATA